ATATATTTTTTTTTTTAAACATATAGTGAGCATAAGCTAGGATTCTTATATATTAAGAAATGAAAATAACTTTATGTATTAACTGATCTAGTTTTAATCTTTTTGAGGTAATAAATAAGTTGGAGAAAATGCTAAAAGTTAAGGAAGTTATTCCCAGAAAATTTTACATTAATTAAAGGTTCCCTAAAGCTATCCATGGATACCAGGCTAAATATCTGATAAATTCCAATCCTCATTTTTCAGGAGAGGAAATTTAAGGTCTACTACGTACAGGTGAAGAAGTTTGCCTAAACATGGAGAGATCATGGCAAAGTCAGGACTAGAACCTAAATTTCCCAATCTCTAGAACAGTAGTTCTCAACCAAGATTGATTTTGTACCCCCACCCCAGGACATTAGGCAATACCTGGAGAAATCTTTGTAGTCACAACTTGGGGAAGAGTGCACTGGTATCTTAGTAGTCAGAGGCCAGAATGCTGCTAAACACCCTACAGTGTACAGGATTGCCCCTGCCAACAAAGAATCATCTATTCAAAACGTTAACAGTGGGAACCCTGCTCTAGGCAACGGAATTCTCTCAACACCACAGTATGGGTATTGTAGGCATTGAACTGGGCGTCACTGAGGATATAAAGTTATACAAGAGATGGAACCTGGGGAGTACAATACACATGAGCTCATGTCCTCAGAAATTGCATGGTAAATACCAAAGGAACAGTTCAAACAAAGTGCTACGAGTAATTGGGGGAAGGATATTTCACTGTTAAAGTAACCAAAATCACAGAGAAGAAATAGTCAAGATCACGAAGAATCGTTGTTAAAAAGAAAAATTCAGGAGGGCCTCTGCCCTCCATTCAACCTCAGTGCTAAGTAAAATCATGGTTTAACTCACAAAAGTGTTAGGACTTCCCTTCTCAGGCACTACTTTTCAATGAGGGCTATTTCCATATCCTCAAATGAAAGCATGTCAGTGTGATCTCTAATGTGTCTATTTCTTGGGACTCAGTCGAGGTCAAAAAGACCTGCAAGAAACTGACTACTGGGTCCTGTTCTATCATAATTCATCTGGATGTGGCCGAATTGACTTTTTTCTTATTAATAAGTAATTCCCTCCCTCTTTAATACCAGCTCTAAGAAAAAGCTATAAATCTCCACTTCTAATATTTAGCACTGCTAATTTGACATAATATTCACTGCAAATTCCTACGCTGGATCTTTGTACATCTTTTCAGTTGGGTTCCATTGTCCAAAATACATTAAGTAAGTAACTAGATAGGTGAACAGATAGATAAATTGTCTTTTTAATGCTGACTCTGGATTGTGCTTAAGATCCGCTGTATTATAATTACGGTTTTCCCACTAGAAATCCAAATGTTTATGATTCTAACAGGTACTCAATTTATACTGGATGTATAAATGGAAGAATAATGCTTCTAGCAGAGTTAATTTGGCTTAAAGAATAAGCTGTGTAGTCTTTATTTCTCATATTTCCCCCTTTTGCTTTTTAACATCTTTTTGCCCTGATATCACTTACTACTCAAGGAAAATAAGGGCTTACTAATGTTATAAGCAGGGTTCTTAAACGTCCAGAACTGATAAAATCTTCTGGAAAAGCCAGTGATTCTTTAAATGACCCCATGGTGGCAGCAGAGAGTAGAGAATGATCTGGTACCATGTTCTGGGCTGAAAACAAGTTAACTAATGAGCATCCCTAGTCTGTGGCATTTATTTATCATTTAAATTTAGACCATGGCTTTGAGACAGGAATGAGTTTGTCCTGTTCAAGCAACAGAGTGAAGGCCCAATGAGGCTGGAAAGTAATGAGAAGGTTGAGATGAGAACAGGAGACAAAATCGGATGTTGAGAGAAGACAGAGCATGGAAGTTCTTAAGAACATGTAACTAAGACATCTTTATTGGAAGCAGTGGAAGATTTTAAGCAGAGGACTGCCAGAATCTGATGTGCATTTTTCAAAGATCACTTTGGTTACTACAAAAGAATGGATTGTAGGAGCACAAGAATCCAAGCAGGGAGGCCAGTCAGGAGGCTATTGCAAAGGTCCAGAAGGGATATGAGAGGCCTGGACTAGAAAGTCACCGATATGTAGAGAAATAGATGGATGCAAAATCTCTTTTGGAGATAGCACTGGTAATACTTCCTAAATGGGAAGGCAAGCAGTAATAGTAAGGAAAAGGGAGTGGACCTCAGACAAGCCTGAAGCCTGGGCCTGCAGAAGAATGCTCTTGGGAAAATGACCTTCACTTCATTCAATATTTATTGCACCAATTATTTGCACCTGTTAAGCAAGGATGTCTGTAGCCAGAAACGCCAGAAAAAAAATCAGGCATGAGTCAGGGGCCAGAAACATATTTAGCATTTCCATCCCTACGTCCTCAGGAGAAAGGCAAAACAATAGTTTCTAAAACATGGCAGAATCCTTATTTTGTACAGGTGATTTATCCATAGTTGTACATCACCATAGGTAATTCAGAGGGATCTGGAAACCCATACCTCTGTCTGGTAGCATGCTGTGTTGTTTCCCAGTTTCTATAACCACTTTTTTGAATTTCCATATATTTTGCCATTAAAGAAATTTAACATACTATAACTGCCTGTTTGTGTCTTGACTTTCAATCATATCACTCTGTTTGACAACCCTTAGGGGGAAGTATGTCTCCCCAATTTTAATCTTAAAGGTGGAGACCAGGGATAATATAGGTTTGAGAAGAAAAATCGAGAGTTCTGTTAGGAACATGTTAAGTTTGGGATGACTATTAGACATTCAAAGGGAGATGTCAAGTAGGCAGATGGACATAAAAGGCTGGAGTTCTACTTTTGAGAGTCATTAGCATATCAATTATATTTAAAACTATAAAAAATTAGATGAAATCACAAAAAAAATAAAATAAAAATAGAACTACCAGATGACCCAGTAATTCCACTTCTGGGTATTTACCCAAAGAAAATGAAAACACTAATTTGAAAAAATAATATGCACCCCTATGTTAACTGCAGCATTATTTACAATAGCCAAGATATGGAAGCAAGATGCTCATCGATAGATGAATAAAGAAGACATGAGATATACATACACACACACAATGAAATATTACTCAGCAATAAAAAAGAATGAAATCTTGCCATCTGTGACAACACGGCTGGACCTAAAGGGGGTTATGCCAAGTGAAATAAGTCAGACAGAGAAAAGACAAATACTGTATTTCACTTATATGTGGAATCTGAAAAAAAAATGAACCAACAAAACAAAAACAGACTTAGATATACAGACAAATTATGGTTGCCAGAGGGGAGGGGATGGGAGGATGGGTGAAAAAGGTGAAAGAGAATAAAAGGTACAAACATTCAGTTATAAATAAATAAGTCACAGAGATATAGTAAACAGCACAGGGAATATAACCAATAATATCATAATAACTTTGCATGGTGATATCATAAGGTATATAAATACTGAATCACTATGTTGTACACCTAAAATTAATATAATATTGTATTTTATAATAAAAAATTTTTTTTAAACAAATTGATTCTCCAAAAAAAAAAAAGATGAGATCACTTAGAAAAAAGAATGTAAATTAGATGACAAACAGTAATGATCCATGGATCCATCTGCTGACCCATAGACATGTTTACTTTGTCTCCACAGTTAAAAACTTGTGCCAGAATTTTAAAATTAATAGAACTCACATTTTAAAAAATCTATATTCCAAGTTTCTTCTTAAAGAACTGAACAACGTGGCAACACTTGGCTTGACTTGTATAGCAGGTTCCCCATTTATATAAGGCATGAATTCTCTAATTCACCATGATATCCTCTCAACACTGAAGCCAACTGTCATTTCCCATTTATCATTGTATTCGTACACCACTATTTTTCTAATACAAATAAATATTCATCAGGATCCGTGTCTCTATCAAAACTAGGGAAATGAAAGATCATAAAGGCATTGTGTTTAAAGAATAATAGGGAAGAAGCACATTTATTTATGAAATTTAAGAATATTTCTATGCATTTAAAAATGCAATCACTCTACATCATTCATTCGCATTTCCTATCTGGACCTTGTAGGAATCTTGAGTTTGCAATCCCTGGGGGTGGATACAGAAGAGAACAAGTCTGAGCCATGTCAATATTTAGATATCAGGTAGACGGGGGATCAGAAAAGGTAAAAGAGGAAAGAACAGTAAGATAGGAGATAGGAGAATATGAGGGCATGAAAGCTAAGAAGAGAATGTCTTGCGTAGGAATTGTGCAGATGCTTTTGAAAGCTAGAATAATGAGTCCAAATAAGTGTCTGCTGGATCAGAAAACAAGAAAGCCATCAAGTTGATCAGTCAC